CCTAAACCCGAAACCCTACGCCCCAAACCCTAAACGCCCTAAACTCGAAACCCCTACGCCCTTAAAGCAAAAGGAGGAAGAGGTGGACGAAGAAAAAGAGCAGCCAACCGAGAAATCCGAGGCGTGGGGGCTTTTAGGATTCAGCCCTTTAGGGTTATTTAGGGTCTGTTGCGGTTTTTAGGGTCTTTAGTGGTTTTGAGGTTTTTAGCTGTTTCATGCCTTGAGTGTTTTATGGTTTTGTGGTTTTAGGGTTCAGGGTTTGGGGGTTTTAGGGGGATTTAGGGCTTTAGAGGTTTAGGGTGGAAGGTTTGGGTTCAGAGCTTTGCCTCTTTTCGGCTTACGTTTACGTTTTGATAGCACGGTGCGTCTATGGCCGCTGAAAAGCAACCCAAGCTGCGCAACTGCACATGGGTAGTTCTCTAGACTAGGGTCCCTTTAGGTTCCTGTCTATAAGGGTGCCGTAGTATATTGGGGATCTAAAAAGGGACCCGAATTTAGAGAACTACCCACATGCTACTTTCGCAGCAGTTGTTGAAGCAAGCTAGAGCTAATGCTTCCCGTCGTCAGGCTCCTCTTTCGAACTTGTGTTGTCATGAGCAGCATCGGTTCTGACCTGGGTGATGACCTTGTTTGTTCTTCAGGTTTTCATCGGTATAAGTTATGGGTTTTATTGTTGCTACTTCTACTCGGGCTCGCCAGTCCCATGCTTAAATGTCGATGGCTCACACATACTGCTGTTTGATCGTCATCGTCTTCTTTTTGTCGAGAACACTGGCAGTTAACACCCGTTTTCTTTCCGTTGTTCCTGGGGAGAGGGTTCCACCTGTTAGTAGCATGAGCGTGCCTGTTACCACGAATCTTGATTCTTCACATTCGCATCACCGTTGCTTTTACAATCTGCTTCTTGTCACGCACAGTGTGGTAGCTACCGTTTTTCACCGATGCGATTGTGATTGTCCCTGGTTTTAGCAACAGCAGCAACAGCATGATTGTGAAACTACCCGGACCCGCAACCCTAAACCCTAAACCCTAAACCCCCAAACCCTAACCCCTAAACCGCCCAACCCTAGCCCCTACACCCCTAAATTCTCACCCCTAAACCGCTAAACCCTAACCCTAAACTCTTAACCCTAAACCACCCACAACCCAGAGTTCGGAACCCGAAACCACAGGCACGGGAAAGGTACTACGAGCGGTACTATTAGTATTAGCCTTATTAGCCTTAGCATTGGTACCAGTACGTATTAGCATCAGTATCAGTGTTAGTATTAGTGTCGGTATCAGTATTGGGATTAGGTTTGGTATTGGTATCAATTTGAAAGTTGTATTTCTGTTAGTCCGCTCTCAGGAGCTATTCCAATTGAGCACATTAAAAGCCTAAACGCTAAACCCTAAACTGGGCATCAGATTTGCAATCAGTCTTCTGCTCCCGAAAGCACAGGCTCCGGCAGAGAGCGCTGTGGAGCCGGCTGCGAAGACGGACGTGTCAGCAACGAAGTCAAGGAGCTTCGTCTTCGCTGGGTTTAGGGTTTAGGGTTTACGGTTCAGGGTTTAGAGTTCAGGGTTCAGCTCAGGGAAGTGGGAAATCGTGGAAGTCTTGATAGCACGTGCCATGGCAGCTGGTAAGGAAGCGGCGGAAAGAGATGGATCCTGGCTACCTGGATCCCGACACCTTCCTCCCGAAGGGATGGTCAACGGTGGAGCTCCTCGGATGTAGAGCAGACCGTGGTAAGCACTAACAGCATCGATCGTATACATGGAAACGACCACCGGGCTTGAAGTCAAGATCATCATTACTGGCACAGTCGTCGTGGTTGGCGTCTTCGTCGCCTACGACGAGGATGTCGTCATCATGATCATCCTCAATCGCGTCATCATCATTGTCCTCATCCTCCTCATCAGCATCATCAGCATCATAACCTTTTCTGTGATATCGCACTTTCGAGAAAGACATGCATCGCCGGTAGGAACGTCGTCATCTCTCTCTCTCTGAGCGCAGCGTCCCGAGAAACGCCTTGCGAGGCTGGGAGCGGACAGGTTTCTTCAGGAGCCCGGCAC